AATGTGGCGGCCACCAAGCAATGCGCTGCCACTTCGCAACGGATATCGCAGCTACGCTGCAAAGCGCACAAAGAGGCGGGACCATCTCCACATGACCTACGCACGTTCGTCATTGGATACGGTGCTTCCAAATTACGCTATGGCAGCGAGCTAATATGGGCAGTAGCGACGGATTCAGCGAAGAATGAGTTGCAGAAGACGTACGCAACTCTGGCACGCATTGTCAGCGGAGTTCCGAGCACTGTCAACCCGGAATCCGCGCTACTGGAGGCTAATATGCCGCCGCTCCACGTCCTCTGCCTGCGCGCACGGCTCTCAATATTTGAGAAAACACGCGCATGTCAGATGGACTGGATGCGGAGACCCCCGCCTGAGCCACCGCCTCGCGCCGGTTTCCGCATCTCGCCATTATCTCGGGACGAGCTATATGCCTTCGTAGACGCATACACAAAGGACTACGGCATCACCCGGAGCTCACCACGCGAAGAGCGGTTCTTTCGCAGCTCCATTCCTCCCTGGTTTGCGGCCTCCGCTCACCGGGTCACCATCGGTGTGGAACTTCCGATCGACCACTCTCAATAACGGACGAAGAAGAGCTGATAAGGGAAAGGCGCAGAGTCAGCGAAGAGGCTCTGGCGCTGCACAGCCATCGTTCGTGGATACTTGCGACCGATGGCGGTGTCGACGTTCCCAAGTCAGCAGGGGTTGGAATACTGCTTTCATCCCTCAACTCATCGGGGATAATAGAAAAGGCCAGCATAAACTGCGGTGCACACCCATGCAGCTACAGGACGGAATCCCGCGCACTGCTTCTAGCCCTAGAGAAGCTGATGATTCCTCGCATCCGCCACAGGCGTAAAACCCTGCTTGTGGTTACAGACAGTCAGTCTCTTCTAGCGGCTCTAAACAAGGGCCCGCTCAGTCAGACAGACTGGACGGAGGATCGGATCTGGCAGCGTCTCCTGACACTGGCGTGTGCTGGCTGGTCCGTGCGCCTGTAGTTTTGTTACGGACATTGTGGGGCACACGCTACCGAGCTTGCGGATCAGTATGCGACGCAGACTATGGAAAGTGGACAATAAACGGAACATGGGATCGCACATTTATGGCATACGGATCTGCCGACATGTTTGACTACCCAGCTCCCCAACAAGTGGCGTAGTACCATTCGTCAAGACACTCATCGCTACTTGCTTTGCGGCACAAGGCCATCCGATCTCAGCGGTAAGGACCTGATCACTCAGGAAGTTCTACACCGTCAGGAACTGGTTCACCTCGCAAGGGCAAGGTGCGGGGGATCTGAGCTCTGGGGCCGACTATACTGGGCCGTGGGAGATTGCACGAACCAATGCCGATTCTGCAACATCTCACCGGAACAGTCTGCATATATGCGCTCCAACAACGATCCAACTGCACCGGGGACGGACACTGTTCCCCCGTCGGCGAGGGAGGAAGACGTCTCTCCAGTAGGGAGACGGACCCTCACACGCCGTCGGAAGGAGAAATGTCCGCACCGTGATTCCACATTGACGGGATTCTCGGGTCTCGTCAGTCACTGTCGGTTATTTCATCCGGAACATCCTCCACCGCTTCCCGAGCTCAAATGTGATTTCTGTGACATGGTTTTCCCCACACGGAGAAGCACCGCACAGCACAGAAGTCGCTGCGCACACAACCCAGACGCCACACGGCATCGGAACAGCAGTGCCAGGAGGCGATCTCTGCTGCCGCAGGATCAGCCACCCTCCACAAGCACGCCAATCAACCCGCAGGAAACCTTGCACCATCTGCTTCTAGAATGTCCAGGTGCCTTGGCTGTGCGCCGACGGCTGGGCATTGAACAGGACCTTCGCCTCGGAAAGTTCTCTCAATGGCAGTTGCTTCATAGCAGGAAACTTTTGTCGTTGCTCGACCACCTCTTCGGCACTCAGATGGCATCGTGTGGCTAGACGCGCCTTTAAGAGTAGGAAGAAAATGGTTGTCGTATTTTTATATGCGGAAATGCCCTGTTATTTTTGTTTTCTGGGAATAACATAACTGTTTTTAATGCCTCAGTTGTAATTGATTCCTTTTTTTTTTTCTATGCGTTTCTTCGAGGGAGAATAAGCTGCCTGAATTTACTTTTGCGGTGCCTTTGGAAAACAATGCAATGATTATTCTTTATTTTTATTTTTTAGGGTTTTTGCGTAATTATGACCTTTTTTTTGTGCTTTCATGTTAGTTTTTCGTTTTTTTTTGTCTTTAACAATATAATACCACAATGTTTTTTTTAATGATGAACTTTTGTTGCGTAAAAGTGTCAGATGAGGGATGAGCAGCTCTTGCTTAACAACAAATGTTTGTAAGAAGTGATTATGCTACATTTGGGAAGGCTTGGAAAAGGAATGGCAGGAGCTTTCTAACTTCTTTTAAAGGGTTGAGGGGGCATTTATCATGAGGGCTGCTCGATCCTCTGGGCCTTTGGTTTAGGAATTGAAATTAAGTATTATTTAAGTTCAATTGTTAGGCCGAAAATACAGGCAGTTTGGGGGTCCAAACAGAAGAAAATCACAACTCCGTCCCTAACAAAAAAAAAAACTGAATCTTCAACTCTTTATCCAGAAATTAAAGTGGCGTTGGGAGTGGGGCTTCTACGTATGTATGCGTTGTAAGTTGTCTTTGAAAAGGATATATATATATACTGTATTCCCTCATTTAAGGAGTTTTTCGAGAAACATCAGGAAACATGTGGCTTATATGGATGTGGCACTGAAAACACAAAGGGAGCCACACAAATGTTTTGCAATAACGTATCATATTGCCGTTGCAACGCTTTTGGGTATGTAAAAATGATTATTTTTATGATGTTTACTATTCGAATCAGTTTACGAATGAGGATGCCAGGGATGCATTGGAATGGAGAAATTTGGGTTAATTTAGGAATATAGTTTTCTGATTTTGGTGTGTGGGTGATCCTCTCTTTTCTCGTGTGAGAGCCAAAATCCTTTAAGAACACGACGGAGGGTAGGATGCTTGGCATTTTACTCCAAACGGCGAATATTTTTGAGGAATATATATAATTCGCATGGATAAAAAGCGTCTCTTTTTATTGATACTTATTCGTGGTGTCCAGGTAACCTTTTTTTTTTTTTTTTGCTGTGTAAGCCTCCTTATTGGAAAGTCATTGGCCTAATTGGCATAAGGCTCAAAAATAATAAAAAAAAAAGTAAAAAATTTAGAATCATGGCATGAGCCTTTGCGCTTTTTGGGTGGCAACGAGGAAATATTTTTGGGGTTATGTGGAGTTGAATCTTGAGTAACCCATTCCTTGAGAACGTTTTTGTTCATTTGCAGATTTATTTGTTTATCCTTGGGGATTAAGGACAGAATGTAGCCAGTGGGTCCGCATATCTATTGCCCGTTGCTGAATTCTGTTCCAGATATGGGGAAAAACTGAAGAAGCCTGCATTTGAATTGATTGATTTTTTTAGAGGCTTTAGAATTCTTTCTTATGTAGTTTCCTACAATGCCCTTTAATTTTCGAGGTTTGAGGTTCTTATGGCCCCATAAGTTTATTTTCCGAAGTTGTGTTTGTTGGAATGTTCTATCCATGGAATAGTGGTAAAAAGAAGAATGAGGTTTTTGTTTTTATTTTTGGCTTTGACTCATTACGAAAACTCAGTAATTTGTCTATTTATTATATTATTTGGCGGCTGAGCTCGTTATCGACGATGGTAGTTATTCATATATGAACACTAGCGCCTTTTACGGCTGAAACTACTTATTGTTGAGTACTTAATCAAAGAAAGGGAAATGCGATTTTACCTTCTTCTTATTTCTTATTAAACAACTACACTGGAACTGCGCATGTTTGATATTGTTTTGAAAACTTTCTTAGGAAAATTGTGGTCATTGGGCATTTGGTCAAATTATATATATATATATATATTGTTCATGGGATTTCGGAGGATATATACGTGTTTATCTTGGGTAATACTTCCGTATTTGAAGTGTATATGTTTGATCTTTTGTTTTTTCTTTATATACCCTTTTTTATATATTTTTTGTTGATTAGTCTGTGGGGTGGTGGATAAATGTTGCTGTATTATTATTATTATTATTTGAGTGAGAAAATGCTTTTTTGTTTGTAATGTTTGTTGATTGGATTTACTTCTCGTTTGTTTTTTTGTTTTTTTTTAAAGGATTTCAAGCGAGTTATGGGTTTTATTCGACACTGTGATTGTGATTGGTGGTGGAAACACCGCGATCAAATCTTCGCTCTTTCCTTCAGGAAACAAAGAATAGGAGCTTGTGAAAAGAATGATCGTGGGAGAGCTGGCTAACTTAATTAATGTATGTGTATATCCTGATAAATGAAGGCATTCTGTATGATACCTTCTACCGTATGAATCTTTTGGGAAGAACACGACTTTGTAGGGGCAGGGAAGCGATAGGGGCCAGATAATATTTGTTTTATTTTGCCATTCCACCCTAACCCCCTTTTGATTCCCACCACGCGGCGGGGTCTTGTGGTTGGCGGAGCCCAAAGTCTGCCAATTCGCAAGTAATATTATTCAAATCCTAACTGAGGACAAAGGACCATGCTAGTGGTCCACAGAATTCTATATATTGAATGAAAAGAAAACATTGAAGCAATTAACTAACGAACCCTTTTCCCTAAATTGTTTGTTTTCCATAGATTTTCAGGATCCGGCAAGCTGCCCGGAAGATTATTCTCAATGAGACCGTTTTCATTTATAAAAGGCAGTTGTGTGAGCGAGGGCGAACTCATTGTTATTCCACACAATCTGCCACCATTTTTTGTGAAATAGTGTTAATATGTGTAATGGTTTTCTTTTTGTGTCTGACAAGGCAACATCTATTACTTTTCCGTTTTGTCAACTTTTTATTTATTTTACTTTTGGGAGGGGCTCTTTTTTTATTGTTGTGTAAACTGGAGTGACTTGTAGATCAAGCGGTGTTAACCACCGATTTTGTTGTCCACGGTCGTTCCTTATACAATGGGAGGAGGCATTTCTAATACGAATCAGAGGGAAAACGCTCAGGATGATAATGTAAATGAAAAAAGGCAATGTCGCGTTGATGAGGGAAAGCGCAAATTTATAACTTCAACAGTAAATTCAGCAAATAAAGAGTATACTGAAGGCATGAGTGATCTTCTTGTTGCGAGGGGAATCCCTGATCCTGTGGAAAGTACGACTCCGCGTAGCAAATTAACTTTTGTTAAGGGGAATTCCGAAAATCCTACGTCGGGAGCTGCCTCAGCTGGCAACATCGGTAAAGGGGCTGGCAACAGCAGCTCCATGAACACAATGCGGAACATGCGGAATGCTTCCTTGGCGGTCCAAGAGGATTCCGAAAATCCTACGTCGGGAGCTGCCGCAAGTAGCATCTTGGTTAAAGGGGCCGGCAACAGCAGCTCCATGAACACAATGCGGAACATGCGGAATGCTTCCTTGGCGGTCCAAGAGGATTCCGAAAATCCTACGTCGGGAGCTGCCTCAGCTGGCAACATCGGTAAAGGGGCTGGCAACAGCAGCTCCATGAACACAATGCGGAACATGCGGAATGCTTCCTTGGCGGTCCAAGAGGATTCCGAAAATCCTACGTCGGGAGCTGCCGCAAGTAGCATCTTGGTTAAAGGGGCCGGCAACAGCAGCTCCATGAACACAATGCGGAACATGCGGAATGCTTCCTTGGCGGTCCAAGAGGATTCCGAAAATCCTACGTCGGGAGCTGCCGCAAGTAGCATCTTGGTTAAAGGGGCCGGCAACAGCAGCTCCATGAACACAATGCGGAACATGCGGAATGCTTCCTTGGCGGTCCAAGAGGATTCCGAAAATCCTACGTCGGGAGCTGCCGCAAGTAGCATCTTGGTTAAAGGGGCCGGCAACAGCAGCTCCATGAACACAATGCGGAAAATGCGGAATGCTTTCGTGGCGATCGTCGGTGATGGTGCGAGCGAAACGGTAGAATCTGAAAAAACCAATCTAGAGGTTGAACCGGGAGCAACGACTTCGCAGGGTTCGGTAATGAACGTAGCTGGGCCTTTTATTTGCCAATCATATAACAATGCAGTAGAAAAGACTAAAGGGTTGGGGCGTGCGCCGGCGCCGGGTTTTTTTCGGAGTGTTGTTGGGCCGTCACCAGTCGTTTCAAACTTGACAAGGAAAAAAGTGACCTCCTTTCTGCCGCCTTGCGTCGCTACTGGTTCTGAGGAAAAAATCTCACGTGATGTAGCTTTTGATCCACCGGCTATGCCGTTCGTCACCCCGTCAACGGGAAGTGGCAGTGCACGCGGTCCGCTACGGATGCGTCTCAGGATTAAACAAGGAAATGAGGGAAACCCAGTAGCACGTGCCGATACTCCAGAAAAAGGTTCGCTTCAGAAATCGGGAGCGAAAAACAAGACAGTTCCTCCGTCTGCTCCATATAATTTGGACTTTGATTGGTAAAGCATGTATGAGACAGATAATCAGGATAAGAGTAAAGTGCATTTTAAGTACAGGCTTCCATGGCAACGGCATCAGTGCTGACACCGTAAAAAACAACAACAACAACAAAAAAACATACGCAAAAACAAGGGGATGAAATTGAAGGAAAAGAACAACAACAACAAAAAAACATTTTTTTTTTTTTTTTTTGGGACCAATAGCAATATGCCATATTTTGGATTTTCCTTCATAATACTTTCTATTCTCTTTCCTTTATAAAAATTAAAATTCTCTTATGTGTACAAATACACCCCCCTTTTTTATAGGAGCTTGTGAAAAGAATGATCGTGGGAGAGCTGGCTAACTTAATTAATGTATGTGTATATCCTGATAAATGAAGGCATTCTGTATGATACCTTCTACCGTATGAATCTTTTGGGAAGAACACGACTTTGTAGGGGCAGGGAAGCGATAGGGGCCAGATAATATTTGTTTTATTTTGCCATTCCACCCTAACCCCCTTTTGATTCCCACCACGCGGCGGGGTCTTGTGGTTGGCGGAGCCCAAAGTCTGCCAATTCGCAAGTAATATTATTCAAATCCTAACTGAGGACAAAGGACCATGCTAGTGGTCCACAGAATTCTATATATTGAATGAAAAGAAAACATTGAAGCAATTAACTAACGAACCCTTTTCCCTAAATTGTTTGTTTTCCATAGATTTTCAGGATCCGGCAAGCTGCCCGGAAGATTATCCCTCCTAGAAAGGGGAAAGAAGGTGCAGTCAGCAGTAATATACTGAGTGCATCCGGCAAGGTGGGGGAAAAAAAGGGGCAGCAGGAGGATGATGGATGGAATTTCACCGAAATCTGCTCAGTGTGGTTTGGATGCGGCCTCTTCACCACTCCCCGGTGAAGAACGAATATTTTTAATGCAGTCCCCACAGCGCAGTGCGACCGCAGCTTCTTACCACTTGTACCATGGCCGCGACAACGCAGCGGAGGCGGCGCCATACCTCGTCGCGACACAAAGTCATGCTTATATGAACTTGCCGCCTGCCATTGATGTGGAAACGGTTGAGGAGGCCAAGGCCATGTTGGAGCACTGGGAGGCATGGAACTTTCATATTCAACAGCAACTGCAGCTTAACAGTAAACCATCATCCATGAACAAGATGGGCGACCATGCGCCTGCTCTCGCTGCGGATTACCTTTACTCCCCGGCGTACCATCTAACAGGAACAAATGCTGAGACAATTGTTGGCAATTCACTTTGCAAGAATATGGCCGCAGAGCATTCACATCTTCACAATGAGTTAAAGGTGGAGTTGGGACCCGCTGCAAGAGTGATGAAGGCGTCAAAGCATCCATTTTCTGTTGCCACACGCACAACCGTTGCTACAGCTCAACGCATGGTTCGACCCGAGTCGACTCGCCGCAGCCGTGCACTACTAATAAAAAGGGCGCTGGAGCTGGTGGGGAAGCCCCTGGGCCGCGCGGGCAGTGACGGCAACAACGGCGTGGATAAATTTGAGCAGCCATCAGCGGTGAAGCAGGCATCCAAAGATCGGGCTGAAGTCGAATCCCAGGTAAAAGTGGAGGATTCACTCACAGAAGCGGGGACTTTAGTAGATTCCAATTTAGAGGAAATGAAGATAAGGTCCGATCCACTTGCTATAGTGTGGCGACTGCAGCGGCGTCTTAGGGAAGAGACATGGCGATCGGCAACGGACTCACTGGCACACTTGGAAGCGAGTAACGGCGGCTCCAAGAAGGATAACGACAAATTGTTGGCGTGGCCGGAACCCCCATCCCGCCTGCATCGGGAATTGAGCCATTACGAGGAACTTGGAAAATTCATTAGTTTGGCGCCCCTTGACTCGTTATCTGTCACAGCACGCGGAAAAATGCAAGGCGAGGATAATCACTCTATGTGGCTCTCTCAAATTCATGCTATTCCAAACGGTGCGGTGATAATTAGAGGGGAGGAATACGCTCAGCAGCCTGAGGAAAATAAGGAAACTGTTAATGATGAAAGTTCTTCAGATGATTCTCCACCACGTGGCTTTCCAACAGTACTTTTGAGACAGAGTGCCGTGGCTATTCTTCCTACGCTTCAAACAGCAGTAGGTGATTTGGATTCCGAAAGCGGTGACTCTGTGGCGGAGGTGACACATGAATTTCTAGAGGCAACAAGAAGTCGAGATGATATGTATGGGGAACTTGAAGAGGTGGTTTGTAAGGCTGAGCACTCTGGGCCTTCCGTGAGAATGGCTACGCAGTCAGAAGAATTTGGTGAGGTGAAATCGATGACTGTAGAAGATGAGAAAGAGTGCACAACAACTTTAACGGATGCAGCTTTTGTTGCAAAGGGGGAGGAAAGTGAGGAGGATGCACTGGAAACATCCGGGAACGATGAGAGGGAAGGGATTATGTTGCTTGCCAACGATAAGGGCCAACATATTTCTGAAAAAGGGGCTGCGAGCCAGAGCGAATGCAAAAACTCTTCAATGGTTTCTGAAGATGTACAGAATGGTTACATTACTAATTTTGATGACATTTGTGCCATGCGTGAATTAAAAGCCGAGGAATATACGAACCGCATTTCTCTCGTTATGGAAGAGAGTTTGCAACTGAGTGAACTCTGCATTTTGAGTCGTTCAGTGACGATGAACTTTGCAAAAAGATCTTGTGCTGATTTTGGGCCTAACTCCGTGAAGGAAGAAAAGTCCGTTTCGGCGTCCATTATAGGAACGGAAGATGTTTTGGGAAATGGAAATGAAATGGCGAGTAAAATGATGCCACAGCGGTGGATTGAAAGAATTTTGTTTAGCCCTCATGTTTCCCAGTCACGTCCTCAACGCTGGCGCTCCAAAAGACGAAGGGGAAAAGTCCGCTCCCGATGTTTGACAGGCCTTCAAAAGAACTCTGGGGACATTGAAAAGAAGTTGCAGGCAGAAACCTTGAAGACGTGCTTGAATGAGGCACTGAGTGCAGTGCAGGATGCCCGTGTGGAGATCAGCACCGAAGCGCAACGTTTCTCTAAGGAGAAAGCTGAGATGGAGGAATCCCTTATGGAGCTACAGGAAAATTTAGCGGCGAAGGATCAAACCATTAATACCCTCCACTCCTCAATTCGGGATTTGCATTTGGTCATTGACCAGCTCAAACGGCGACTTGATGAGAATGCGAGGGAATCTGCAGCTATTGAAAAACTTATACAGGTGACAGTCGCAGAACTCCGCGTTGCGAACGACGCATTGGAATCTGCAGCAGAAAAACACGAGAATGCATTGCGTACTCAGGCAGAGTTATTTGGAGCACGATTGTGTGAGACAATGATTGTGCTGCAGGAGGCGCATAAAAAGTCGGAGGAGGAACTTCATTGTGAGAAGGATAAATTTCTCGCTTTGGAGCGTGCGGCGAACGTCCGCCTGACGGAACTGCAAAGCAATTTATTGGAATCAACTGCAACAGAACAACGAGCATTGAGACTTGCGGCGGCACTGGAGCGGGCATTGTTGCTAGCCAAGAGCTCTGTCGAGAAACACATCGCGGAAAAGAAATTGATTTCCCTTGAACTCTTTGATGTGGAGGAGCGTCTCTGGAGCGCGCGGGGACAAACCGCTGCAGCTGTGGCGGTCATAGGTCGATACGTACTTATTTCACTTATCCAGCGTTGCTTCAGTAGATGGATGCGCAAGTGTCGTGAGTCAAGGTGCCGCACGCTGGAGCGTGTGCAGCGCGAAAACAACGAGCGGCGACGTGAGTTGATATTGTGGTGCGACCACGTTTGCTTCCCGAATATCGCCGCTGTGCCGGTGCGACGCACCAGGCAACCAGTGATATCGTCTAACGTTTCATTTGAGAAAGCGCCTGTGTCTCTCACTGCCGTCGCGGGGGTACGGGCAAAGCGCATTGGATCGGCTCCCGCCTTTGCCATGGAAGCATCGGAGCCGCGTATTTCAGGAGAGGCGCTTCCTTGTTTTTGCGATGTCACCAAACAAATGGCACATGAGCGGCTGCGAGCGGCGGCACTTTTAGCGGAACGGGATGCCTTGCGCGACGCACTCCGGGAAAGCAGTGCCGCGAATAGTGAGTTACTTCACCAATTGGAGGTGGCCCTGCGTGGTCGCACAGCTCCACAATAAAGAAGAAGTCGTTGTTTTTTCTTCTAAAGGCAGCGCATATTGCAAACAACAACGATGAGAATAAAGTGAAAGGACGTATATATTTTTGTGATGCATTTCGACCCTGCAACACCTTCCGTTTGTTTTCTTTGTTTCCGCTTTCTTATCGACCTCTTTATCCACCGGGTGGGACGCTTAAGAAGAAAACATAAACTGGGCGAGGAAATTGTTGAGGTGTCACTCTGTATTGCAGTATGTGTTGGGTGTTTGGTTGAGTGGTAACAACCTTTTACCTTTTTTTTTTCCTTTTCCTTTCTCTTTTTCTCAGTCTTTCTTTTTTTTTTTTTTTTTTTTTTTTTGCTGTTTTTCACTTCTTCTGGGATATGCTGTAAAAGGGTTTTTTTTTTATCTCTCTCCCTCTCTCCCTCTCTCTCTCCCTCTAATATATATATATATATATATATATATCCTTTTCTGTGCAAAATATTGTGTTACTTTCGCTGTTGTTTTGTTGTTGCTTCTGGTACCGATTTTATTGGTTTTCAGCTGTCGGTGTTTCTCCGCCACATTGATCTCTCCCTGATGAACACGCAGGTTGCATATAAATGAAGAAGCGGGGGCCTCAGCGGATGGGAGGGTTTGGAGCAAAGCTCGACGGTGATGTCACAGTACGGCGTTTTGTGGCACCACAGTTGCGCACAACTACCGCCATACGTCGTGGGGAGATGCTGGAGCCGATTGGGGAGGTGGCAATGCGTGTTGGCGTGGATGCGGCAACGGTTGAGGGATTGGTGGATGCACAAGGCCTTGCACTTTTTGGTAAATTGCAGCATGGAGCGGAGGTGTTTCTTGCAGGAGCCGTGGCTGAGAGAAGCGATAAACATAACAGCAACTGCGATGATAGCGGTGGGATGCTCTCCTTGCAACCCCCAGATGCATCGGTGATTTGGGCGTACGATTCACGCATGTTGCTCCATGTGCCGCCTATTGATCGTATACCAGAGACGCCATATCGCTTGCAGCGGGCTATTGAGTTGTTAAGGTCAGCGCCACGCGCTGGCGAGTTGTTGCCAGAAGAACTACTTTGCCCTTATCAGGGCAAAGTTGACACAATGACGGGAGCCACTCGGGGAGATGTTAATCATACTTCTCTGAGTGGTGTGATTCCACCTTCGTACTGGCTTCCACCCCGGCTGGCAACACTTGAGGAAATTGCGTTATGTCACAATGTCTCACGGTATCGTGAATTTGTCGAGCAGGGCACCGCATTGCCACCGCCACTCAAAAGTGATGTATACTGTAACGATATGACAAGCAGTGTAGCCACTCGCCTTGCCGTCGGGGCCGTTATTGACGCGGCGCGTCGCGCACTTTCTGGAGCGCCCTCATTTGCTTTTTGTCTAGTGCGTCCCCCAGGCCACCATTGCACATCGGACACACCAGGCGGTTTCTGTCTTGCCAACAACGTCGCCATTGCGGCGCGTCAGCTGCTAAAGGATTGGCGTGACAATAACAACGGATCCGGTGGTAGTGACGGTGGGCCGCCTCCACGCATAGCGATAGTTGACCTTGACGTACAACACGGTGAGGGAACACAGTCCTTTGTGGAGGAAGAGCCGCCACCGCACGGCGGGACTTCCGTCTCGCCTCTTTTGTATCTCTCGCTGCATCGTTACGACCATGGCAACTTTTACCCCTATGACCCTCGCGGCGACACCGCTTATATAGGGCGTTACCGCAATGTGTGTAACGTTGCTGTTCACACCGCGGCCAATGATCCAGCGTGCTGCGAGGAGGTTGTGAGTGATGCCGTGTTTGAGCGTGTGGTGGACGATATCTTTGTTCCACGCTTGAAACGCTTCTCTCCGGACGTTGTACTGCTTTCATTGGGGTTTGACGCTGCCCACGGCGACCCACTGGGAAGAATGGCCGTTGAAGGCGGATTTACGTACGCAGTGCGAGCACTGAAGCAGTTTTGCCGAACGCAACAACAATCATCACGGGGGTTGCATGCCGGTCTTGTTGTCGTCCTAGAGGGCGGTTACTCACCGGAGGCTGTGGCCCAGGGCGTTGTTGCTGTTGCCCACGCGCTTCGATATCCGGCCAATGACGCGGAAGTGGTGCGATACGCGGCGCGTCAATTGCCAAAGACGTGGCAGGAGCTTCGCCGCCGTATGGCACGTCAACAGTACGAAATGGAAAGGCAACAACAAGAGGTGGAGGGGGATGAAGGAAATGCCGAGGCGTCATATGAACCAGTGCCAGTTTCTCCCACACAGGGCACTGGGGCGATCATCTCGCTGCCGGAGGATGATGTCCTCTTAGAGAGACATGAGAGATGGTGCGATCGGCTTATTTCCCGTGTGTTGGCCATACACGAGGAGTCGAACAAAAGGCAATAACAGAGCACAGACAGTTTTAAGTTTTTTTTCTTTATGTCTTTTTTTTTTTTGCTTAAAAAAAGGGATTTTTGTGCTTTTTTTTTTTTTTTCCAAAGCTCCTTCACTGTTTGCCGCTGGGTGGCACGGTGCTGCACGATGAGCGCTTTCTCGTTTCCTGTTGTTCTTGTTTGTGGGTCACCTACATTATCGATCGCTAAGTAAGAGAGGGAGGGAGTGGGAGAGAGAGAGAGGGCGAAGCGATTTCTGGGAGATGAGTGGACGGGGCATTGTGCCTATACTTGAGCGACACGGCGATGTGTACATCACTGGCAGCACCGTTGTGCGACATAAAGTCGGGAGCAATGGCGATGAGTTGGACTTATTTCCGAGCGGATATGACTTGCAGTTGGTGCTTTCCGCTAAAAATCTCTACAAGTTACGGCAGCGCCATCCACCACCAAGACTCTTGTCGAGAAAGTCAGGTGATAACAGGAAAGAGGGAAAGGAAGAAGATGAGTTACAACAAAAGAACCAGTGGAGTTTGGGGGAGAAATCTCATGCACCTCTACCCCCACCACCGCCGCCGCCAGAGATGATGTGGCGCGAGAGCCTCGGGCTGATTCGAGCGTTGGTTCCACTGCACAATCATCCTTCTCGTATGTGGGCTGCGGGCCGCCATAAATTGGGGCGCCAACTGCTATGGGTTTGCTATTGAGTACTTCAGCACGAAGAAGGGCCCCAAACCGTCCGCGCAACGCACCGTGTTGCAGCGCTACATGAAGGAGATACAGTGCCGCTGCGTAAATGACGTGTTCACGGATGTGAAACTGGTAGCACTCGACGGGACTCCTGGCGGACTGCGAGTGAGAGAGTTTCACGTTGGCCTTATGCGACCACCGCAGTCTGGGTCAGAGCCCGCAAGGACACTGTATGCTTCCAGTGAGGGCTCTCCGTTCTTGGAGCAGGAATGGTGTTGTGTCTTTCGCGAGGCGCAGATGAATTACTGGCACGAGCGGCTTGAGGATAAACTCATAGAGGATCCAGAAGTGTTCCAGTACCAAATTTACGCCATGGAGTTTCCCAACACGACCACCGCGTCTACTGCAGCAGGGAGGGCAACGCAAAAGCACGAAAAACAACCACTTCTCTGTCAACTTGTTCTTTCCACAGAACGCCTGTATGTTGTTCCTCGGCATGACGCCAAGCTATTGGCGGTAGAACTACCGTTGCATCACAGCGAGATGCACTTGCGGTGGTTTACCGTTGCTGCGCTGCAATCCATTTCCTTTGACCCCTACACCGGTGTCATTGTGTGCGTTGGTCGTCAACAACATGAGGGAAAGCAGCCGAAAAGTTCACTTGCGCGTCAGAGCTTGACACATGCGGGTTCTGCAGCGGATTCCAGCAAGGAAGTGAGATTCACACTGGGATTTTTTAGCGTGGCGGAGGCGGAGGAGGCGGTGTTGGAGATTCAACGCGTGTGGGAATTGACGCACCGCCATGAGGACTTCCCACTCGCATGACTAATATAAACTATCGTATTGGAATCAACATATATATATAATATATGTATGTGTGTGTGTGTGTGTGTGCCTATGCGTCACTGGACAAACGGGGAGAGCACGTTCTCCGTCAGCACAGTGAACTGCAAATATTATATATATATATATATATATATTCTTTTTATTATTATTATTTTTTTTTGTTCTTTGACTTTCTTGTTATTTGTTTTTCATCGGTTTGCAAAAAGAACGTACACAGACGCCGAAAGGGAATTTTTTTAAAATTTTTTGCATGTTAAGATATCGGGCGCAACCCCTTTTCGCCATGCTGACACGCTACACGGAAGCTAAAGCAAAAACACCCTTTTTTAACACACAGCTATGCGCTCAGGGAAGACGCGGCAGTACGGATGGACTGTTGCTCACCATTGGGGACATCACGGTGCCCGTCCCAGAAAACCTCAGCCACCCGGAAAATGTCAAGTGGCTCCTTCCTGGCATCGTGGGTTGCGGTGCTGACACGGATAAACCCGACAATAGCGACGATAATTCCACGGGTAATATGGTCGAGAAGGGGTTCCAATTGCATGGTGGTAACGCTTTCTTTCAGTTAAATGATTCTACGACGCGTAGTTATCTGCGCTGGATGTGCCAAAAGGAACAACTGCGGCAAGACATGTGCCTTGTTGGCGAACCTGGCCCTGCAATGCGATGGCTGGTGCAAATGTACTCATATCTTGTGCGGCGCGAGATGCAGTGTGTTTCACTTAATCGCGACACAACTGAGAGTGATCTTGGCCAGCGCCGCGAGATACGCAATGGCACACTTGTTTATGACGATCAGTGCGTCGTGGTAGCAGCACGTGAGGGACAACTGCTTCTCTTGGAGGGTCTTGAAAAGGTAGAGCGTAATGTGTTGCCGGTGATCAATAACCTTTTGGAGAACCGTGAGATGCATCTTGAAAATGGCATGATGCTCATCCACCCCGAACGATATGACCGGCTGCTGCAAGAACTTCTTTCTTCGAAGAAAAGAAGATATGAACATGGAAGCAGCGACATCAAGAAGGGGGTGAAGATGAGTTCTCATGATGCCATGACCCACGCGGCGGCACATGAGGAGTTACGTCGGATGGGCTTCATTCGTGTCTCAGAGCATTTTCGTGTTGTTGGTATTACCGTTCCAGTTCCACCATACGACGGCAACCCACTTGACCCCCCGTTGCGCTCACGTTTTCAGTGCCTCTATGTGAACATCCCGCTGCCTGGCTTGGCGGCAGCGAAAACTATGACGGCCCCTGCATCTGTGAGAGAGGGTTATGCTACAGGTGCGGCGGAGTCCCTGTTAAAACTCCGCACCATCATCGATGAGGTGAATGCAAGCACGAAAGATTTTATCATGGGTGGAAAACAAGCGGGGAACAGCGGTGAGCCCAGCAATCATCATCATAACGATAATAGCAGTGGCATTGGCGGGGTGACATCGACAGTTCGTGGACTGCAAACCATTGGCAGCTACGAGCTTGCGGTGGTGTCACGACAGCGGCAATTATTTCCTGATATTTCCCTTGGCGAAATTCTACCACGTGCCTTTCCGTGGATGCTGTACGCGCAGCAGACCGCCACTTCAGGTGTCGCACATATCGAGGAGGCCGCCCGTTGCAGACGTGAGTATGAGAGGTTGCTCGGTGCATGCCATATCGGCGTTCCATTGTATGAGTGCCGCCACAGCTCTATCGACGAGGACGGAGATGTCATTGGCAACAACCATGAGGATGGCGTTTACGCGGGGGAAGAAGATGCCACTAACAGCCGTGCGCCAGTGGGCATTTTATCGACAAGAGGGCACGCGCGAATGAGTCAAACTCTGGGCGAGAAGGTGGCAGCTCAGCGCCGTCGAAGTAGTCGTGGCGGCAGTGAGAAAAGCACCGAAGAGCCGGAGGTGTCTCGTCGCCCGGAAGACTTCAATGACGTGCTAAGTATTGAAAATATCCGCGTTGCGGAAACTAATTGCGGTGCTGTGGTGGGTGACGCTTGTATCGCCAGCAGGGAAAAAGGCGGCATTTATCGTCTTCCTATTTGTATGGGCGAGACCGCCATGCACACAGCAAATGGAGAAACGACGAATTCCTTTTTGGTGGCCGCACGCTGCCCCACGCCATGCAACGTTTTTACCACGGCGCACCATCACGTGCTGCAGTCCATGCTACAGTTACACATTGCAGGGCAGCATATTTTGCTTCTCGGGCCTACCGGCTGCGGCAAGACAACTCTTCTTCGCGAATTTGCCCAATTGATTGGATATCGCATGGAAACAATGTACCTGTACGCTGACATGACGAACAGAGACCTCTTCCAGCGCCGCACAACAGACTCTTCGACGGGGGACACAACGTGGGAAAACAGCGCGCTTGTGGAGGCGGCATTGCGTGGCCGCATCGCCGTTCTTGACGGCATCGACAAGCTGCCTCATGGGATGTTGGCTTCTCTTCAACATCTTCTTGTTGACGGGAACAGCAGCCTTTATGATGGCACAATTCTCAAGTCGCAGCGAGAGTATGAGATACTGAAGCAGAAGCTGATGGCTACAGACCTGGAAATGAAGGCACGTCGGATTTTCCCTGTGCATCCTGCCTTTCGTGTCGTGGCAACTGCGCGGTCCACTTCATCCGCTGCTAGCAGCGGCGGGGGTGGCAAGGCAAATCAGAGCCGTTGGCGTGTCACTCACGAAGTGACATCTCTTTTTGGTCTTGTGATGATGCCGGCTACCACGCAGACAATTCTTCACGCCGTCCTCTCACGGGCAGCATCAACAGAACTGGAGACGTGGCGAAATGAAATGAGCTCACTTACCGAGAGTGATGGTGGCGCTATGGCCGAAAGGAGTTTGGAGACAATAAAGCGAGACGTCGACCGGCTACTGCGTTTACGCGATGCACTTGAGCGACTACAGGAGACCGAGCCTAAAGTGCCGCAGCTGAGTCTCCGGCAACTGCTGCATTTAATCCGCTTTCGTGTTCGCCACCCGGACGACTTTACACCTGGAGTGGAGTCCACATTATTGCTGCCGCTCATGAATACACTGACGGCCGAGCAAGTGCGGCAGGCCATGCATTCTTGCGGTTTTCATGGCGTGAGTGATCACGAGGAAAAGCAAAAACAACAACAACGGCATTATGGGACGCGAAAGGGTACAGAAACGGTGGCCGACCTGTCCGAAGGACGTCGAGGTAAACGCCACGATGTTCTCACAGAAGTTTCGGCTTTGAAAAATACCAATGCTATCACTGAATGTCAGGGCTGTGGGTTTATGCGTGTATTCGCCGTACATGGTAGACCTGTTTTTTGCAGCAGTCGTGTATACTCGGAGGAGGAACGGGCGATGGTGCCGTATGTCCCTTACTTCCACTCCAATCCTGTGCATGAGTCCATCATTGCATGGCTCGCAAAGCAGTACGCTGTAGGAAACAATATCTTGTTAATTGGGAACCAGGGTGTTGGGAAGAACAAGGTGGTGGACGCTTTTCTTGCACGTATAGGCGTGCCACGGCAGTACATTCAACTCCACCGTGACACAACCGTTGGCACCCTTACAATCAATCCTACCGTTGAGGGGGGTCGCGTTATCTGGTCGGACTCACCGTTAGTGAGGGCGGTGCAGCGTGGGCACTGTCTTGTCGTGGACGAGATTGACAAGGCACCGGTAGAAGTGGTGCAGGTACTGAAGGGACTTGTGGAGGATCACGAGATGCGTCTCCGCGATGGACGGCAGATACGCGGTCCACGGGCACGTGTCGTGGCCGCGGACAGCGACCCCAAGGTAGAGGCAAATGTCATTGCTATGCATCCGGACTTTCGCATCATTGTTCTGGCGAATCCACCGGGGTTTCCGTTCCATGGCAACGACTTTTATCGTGAATGCGGTGACTTGTTTGCATCGTATGTCATGGGCAACCCAGACGCTCTTTCACAGCTACGCGTACTGAAGGCATACGGACCAAACCTCCCCGACACCCTGCTGGTGCGACTCATTAGTGCTTTCCAAACTCTCCAGAAGAGTTTTGAAGAGGGACATCTCACATATCCCTTTTCTCTGCGGGAGTTGATTGCGGTGGTGAAACACATGGCGGCGTTTCCACATGATGGCATTTACGACGCCCTTAACAACGTATTCAACTTTGACGCACGCAACGAAAACACGCTGCACCTTGTCCGTCAGGTGATGCATCTTCATCTTCACCCGCTTGTGAGCGCTGGTGGCATGCGGCGTCTTCTACCGTTGCGTGCTGGACAGTCCTTGCCACTGCATTTCTCGCCACAGTCTCTGCAAGTTCCAGCAACGGCGTCGTTAAAATTGTCAACAACGCCATCAGTGAGCGATGCCACATTACTTCCAGTGCGGTTTGTTACCGATGCGGACTGCGATAAACCGTACATTGCACAGTCCGTTCCCACCTGGTGTGAGCAATACAAGGAGTCGGAGTTTGCAGCCGTCGTGCCAAACGTCGAGTCAGAGGGATTTACAGAATGGCTGGCGGCTCCAAATATTCCTTTTCTACGTTCAGGAGATGTCGTGGTGGGCATCGCGCCTGTGGAAGCAGACGTTGACATGGGGGCTCTCATCACCCTCGCTGTTCTTTTTTTACGTGAAGAGGCTACCAACGACACGAGTAATAATAACAGCAGTCGCATTAAAAGGCTTCTCCTCGCTATGGTAGCACCGCCGTCGGTTGCCTCTTTCGGGATGGTGACGATGCGACGTTCACATCTTTCTTTGGGCCAGATTCAATTCTTTGATTTGACGCGTTTTTTTCCCGATGCTGACTTTTCCTCGTCTTCCTCCGCCTTGGCACCATCGTTGCATGCGTTCAATGCCGAACCTCACAGTTCTTTTCTTGTCACTGAAACACAGGCCGGCTGGCTGAATGATGCGTTTGGCGCCCCCATTCCGCTCGTGGCTGTGGTCGATGCCCAGTCGGGCCTCGTGCTGCTGATTAACACGGCTGCGGCTGCGGTTCAGTCATGCGACGTTTCTCCGCGGCAGCAAGGGGAGGAAGAAGAATGTACTCGAGGCGCCGTATTACCCGTCCGAATCGCACCGCCCTCCTGTGAGCCATCGTTATGTCTCTGTTCACTCCGACCACTGAGCGGTATTGTCGCCATGACGCGACCAAGAAGTCCGGAGTTGTTTTTTTGGATGAACGGTCAACGCATCGTCGTAACACTACCCGCAGCGAGTATCGATAAATTGCAGTTCGTGACCGACAATCTAGCAATGGTGTCCCTCCGAGTCGGGGAGATGGTGAGTAATTGCCTTTTGAAAATGGCCGTCTCGGCAGACGGTCAAGCAAAGGCGAGTCTTCTTCATCTTCCTGACGGCATCTCAGGGGATATCGTGGGGTTTGCGGGGAATCAAGCAACGGCATTGCCATCTGATCATGCGCTTTTACAACCACTCAAACTGGAGGAACTGAAGGGGGCTGTCGTTGTGCCAAGCTTTAGCGAGACAAACCGTGGAGACGTTGTTTACATGACGCTGGACGAATATTCACCAGAGAAAAGGATGTGGTCAGTGCGTTTATTCACTGACGCCGATGCCGCAGCCGCCGTTGGTACCGGTTCGCTGCGTGTAAGTCACCCAAATCATCAGCTGCTGGCGACTGAATGGTCCTCGGCAGAGCACCGTGGCAGGATTGTTGCAGTAGACTTTCAGCAGCACATGGTGCGCCGCTTTGCTCCCCCACCCACTGCATCATCATCATCATCATCGCAAGATCCCGGTATGCCGTTGTTCGCACTGAACGAGGGAACGGGAGTGGCGCTGTGGTACGACAACACCGCACAGCGACTGCTGGTTGCAGATGTCGTGGAGGAGCGTGTGCAAAAACGCTACCGCGACTGGTCTACCTTGCTTGAGGGTTCTGTCAAACAGATCGGAAACGTTGCTTCAACGACAAGGCAGCCACTCTCGATGACGTACAGTAAGCCACGTGCGAAACCCTCCGGCACGCTCAAACACGGCAAGGAGGATGACGAAGAACATCACGGCGGCAACACCTACGCGGGCGGTACGGGCGGCACGGATACTGCAGGGCTTGGTGGGATTGTCGGGCCTTACCGTCTCGACAAGGGGTGGCCTGTGCACCAGGTTTCACCTGAGGAGAAACAACGGGTTCCACCTCACATTATTGAAGAGGCAAAACGCATGGGGAAGGCCGCTCTAGAGGAGCGATTGCGGGAGATTGGGATGAGTGCGAAGGAGTATGAACAGTACAGGGCACTACAGGAGCGTGTGCAGGCCCCGGTTGCGTTGCTACGAAGTGTTCTGAGTGGCTTGAAAGCAGCAGAGGGTGAACGCACGTGGCTGCGGGGTCAGACGGATGGCATATGGGGATGACAGCAAGATTGTGGAGGGCATCGTTGGTGAACGCAACATCTACAAGCGCCGGGAAGAATCCACTGAAACGAACCCGTTTCAGTCTAAACACAAGAAACGTCTGTTGTTCGTACTGGATGTGAGCGCCAGCATGTACCGTTTTGAGGGAATGGACCATCGATTGAGCAAATTGTTGGAATCCACCGTGATGGTCATGGAGGCATTTGCCGGATTTGAGGAGAAAATTGACTACGCGATGGTGGGCCACAATGGCGACAGCGCATGCATTGAGCTGGTTTCTTTTGGCCATTCACCCGCCAATCAGAAGGCGAGAATGGAGGTGTGTCAGCGCATGGTAGCCCACGCACAATACTGCTGGTCAGGCGACAACACAGTGGAGGCAATGCGGCAGAGCATTGATCTTGTCACGGCAGAAAAGGGGGATGCATATTTGGTGTTTGTTATCAGCGACGCGAACTTGCCGCGGTACGGCATCCAGCCGAGTGAACTGAGCGCAATCATGCGAAGTCACAAGGAGGTACAAATGTTTTGTATCTTCATTGCGACACTGGGTGAGCAGGCATCAAATCTGCAGGCAGAGATGCCGCCTGGTCACGGATTTGAATGCTTGGACACGCAGGCGCTGCCACATATTCTTAAGCAGATATTTTTTTCGGTGAATCTTCTATAAGACTGAAAAGAGAAACTAACGAACAAAAAGGGCAGGGTAGTGAGGCACCGTTGATGCATTAATGACAGACACACACAGAGAGAGAGAAAAAGAAATGTATGTATGGTGAAGGGTGACGGAGGGGCCCAGCGCGTATCTTTGTTTTTCCATTATTACACGTGCTTTGGGCACGTGTGTGTGTGTGCGTGAAACACGTTCTTGTTCCCTATGGTTCTTCACCGGCTCATGTCTGTCAGCGCGCATTTTTTTTTCCCTTTTTTACCCGTGGCGTGTGCGTGTGTGTGTGTGTGGGATGGACAAATAGGAAGGGTTAGGGTAGTTGTTGCGCGGGACGTTTCCGCAAGGATGGGCGGGGAGGAGGAGCAGGCGGAGGAGATTCGGCGTTTGCTGCACTGCGCCGCCTCGAAAGCCGACGCCTTTGCCATTCTGGGGCTCGATGCGCAGTCATGCGCGTTGTCTGACATCAACCGCAACTTCCGGAAGATTGTGCTGAAGGTTCACCCCGACAAGTGCACCCTGGCGAAGGCCGCCGACGCCTTTCATGTCGCTGAGAATGCACACAAGCTACTGAGCAATGAGGCCGTTCTCGTGCGGCTGAAGATTGCCCACAAGAAGAAGCAGGAAAGGGAGGAAGAGGAGGCGGCGCGGCGGCAGGCGACTGCAAGCGCCGTTGGTGGAGGCGGCACCGTTGGCACGGTGGATGAGGCTAACTTGTCGAAGGAAGAAAGAGTTCGGCTGCGACGTCGTGAGCAGCTTGTGGAGCAGCAGTTGGAGGCCGCACGGCTGGCGGAAGAGGCGGCACGAAAAAAACAGCGCGTGGAGCGAGAGACAAGGGAGCGTGCAGAACTCGCTGCAGAGTTGGAGCGGCAACGGAAGGAGTGGAAAGACTTGAATCTTTTCTAAGTTGACATGCAGGGAAGTCGAAATAATAATAAAAGAGAAGAAAGAAAAAAGGAAATCACAAAGTACAGTTCGGCGGCCGTTATGATTTCTTTTGTGTATCTCCTTGTGTGCACGCATGCATGTATGCGGGTAAGGTGACTGATGAGTGGGTGGGCATATTTATGCCGATTTGAAATGCTTGTATGGTTCTCAGCCGTATGTTTTCTTCTGCCTCCTTTTTTTGGTGCTGTTGTATGTCTGTTTTTGCCAATATAATATATACCTACTCTCCGGAAGCGATCACGCAAGAACCCGTGGGGGAATTGGGCGGAAACGAGAGGAGACAAAAAAGAAAAAAGCAAACAAGCAAACAAATCAATGGGAGAAGCCGAGGGAGGGAAGACGGTAGTGCGATGTCGATAGAAGGCGACTGTTTCTGTGTGTGTGTGTGTGTGAATGGCTTGACCTTTCGGCTTCTTTTCGTTTCTTCTTTTCCATCACTCCGGGAAATTGTAGGAAGGTGCGGAAAAGGAAGCGAATAAACAAAAATAAACAACTCAGCCTTCTGCAATATACCACTATTGTTTGTCTGATCCTTTCATAAAGTCACAGAAATGCATGTGCCAGGAGGCAATAAAGCCACATCACCACCGCTGCACCAGCAGCAACTACAACAGCAGTGGCCCGCCGCTTCGCTCCGAAGACGCGCCGTGCAACAGCGTCAGCAGCAGTCTCCGGGCATTCGTCGGGCGGCAAACTCCACAACTGCGCCATCTTCCTCCGAGTCGTCACCAACCCCATTGATCATGACATATGAATTGGAGAACTCATCTGAGGACGATTCTGAGGAGTACTCCGAGACGACGTACACACCGAGCAACGTGCCACACTTTCTATCCATGCCGTTTGGACCAACTGGGGACGGTACTGCGTCCCTGATTTGGGGCATGTCGTCAACAAGCAGCTACTGCGCGGACGTATTGTCGTCGCAAGGGACCGAGATTGGCGTGGGCTCCAAAACCCTCTCACCATACCGTATATTAAGACAAATTAGTCTCTGCGATACCCACAGTAACAAAAGCGGCATACCGCAGATGCCTGTGATTGTCAGCGAGCGAAACAGTCCCGTGCACGGAGAGGAAAACCAAGAGCTGCGGCCAAGCAACTTGACGAGGACGAACCTCATGAATGCAGCCATCTCCACTCAGCTGCCTCAAATTGTGGGGTCTGAGGCGAGGATACAGCACACCCAAAAGCCCACGGTGAATTTAGAGCCGCCCCACAATGAGAGCACGTCAAGGGTGGCGACGTTGCCCCCAGCACCTGGCAAAATTTGTACACGACCGAGCAAGGAATGTGTGTCTCCCATCACAGCCAGGCCATCCACGCCAGCGGCACCTGCAGCTAGTTGTAGAGGCGCACGCTCTGCAGTAGGTGGCAGTGGTGTTAGTAACGTGTCGAGGGATTCGAGGACGCTGTTAGACGATGACGCAAAGCGAGGGGTGAAGGCTTTGCGAGAAGAAGTTGAAGGGGAGGCAACGCCCCGATTGATTCTGAACGTAGCACCGCCCGCCCATTCGTCAGCAGAAACCCCAGTGGTAGCAGTTGTCCCCGCGGAGGAAAAGGTGGGAACGTCAAGGGGCAACTTTGCAACGAATCTCCATGAAATTCAATCCAGCGTTACAGCCACAACGGCGTCGCCGGCGTCCCAGTGTGTGTGTGTAAATGCTACGAATGGGACAACGCAGTTAACCCGGCAGGCGATGACAGCAGCAACGAGACGAGTTAAACCAAAAGAAGTGCCGTGTGGGAGTGAAAGAAGAAGGATTGTGTCAGGGAGCGACGCATACTATAAACTTCCGTCACTTTTTTCTTCCACCAACTCTGTTCTTCCGCGGGTGGAAAAGAGACAGAAATTCTTTGCTGAATCCCTCCAGAATCATCCGCAGCAGAATCAGCAACAACAACAACTTTCAGAATTAGCTATCGTGCCGCGACGCCTAGGCGACCGAGGGCCACTAGTGCAGGAGAGAATACAGCGACAGAGGATTCGGAGATGGGAGACCGCTGAACGTGTAGCCATTCTCAATAAGATCATGGAGATGAAGCAAATTCCCAATATCCCCCACGCCTTTCGGAGTAAGGATGTGGCTAGTTGTGCTCAGTCACCGCCGCAGCTTTTATCTCAGCTCAAGGGGTGTGAGGCGAATGAGAGTGACGAGGTGACTGGAAAGATTTTGCGGAGTGTCAATCCGATAGAAAACTGGGGATTTCAGCATAATGCAACTCCACAGGGTTTAGGCACAGGCTTGGGATCGGCCAAAGCTACGGATGATCCCACCCGTCATTTCCCGGAGAACTCAAAGACAGGCGTGAAGGGGCTCTGCCCACCACGATGTCAACGCATGGAATCTGCCCGGAGACGCGTCCGGAATCAACAGATGGATATGTTACCTTCCATTGGTGGATCACGAATTAAATTAACTGAGAGTAGCCAAATCCTGCCAGGACATGAGGGGAACATGACCTAACTGGTCTCGTCAGCCTTGTCAATCACATGTCCAAAGGACATTGTGAAACTCGGAGCGCAACGCAGTAGAAATTGGAAGGAGAAGAAGGAAAAAACAAACAAACATTCTTATCTTGATGGGATCTGCGTAAAGAAGGCCGCACCCGGTCTAATTGGCGCTTTTTTGGATAAAGAGAGGAGAAGTGGCTGTGCGGACGCCCCAGGATTAGTTATACCAATTAATTTAGCATGCCGTCTCAGCCAACACGCGCCCTGTGCCCTCATCCATCAAGAGATTTGGGGGGGAAACCTATCAGGTATTGTCGAAGAATACTATTACAACTTTTTCTTTCAGGCACGCGACGAAATTGGCAAAAGCACAGATGTTGTTGACGCTCAAAGCGTCCTCTCCAGTAAGGTTTTTTTATTTGGTGCTATTTAACAGACACCCTGTGGCTCTCATTGGAGAGAAGTTAGACGCAGCAGGCAAATGATCAATTCGTGTACTGAAAGCCACAGCAGAAAAACTCTTCTTGGTATTGGCAGCATACAGGAATGAGGCGCGTTTTAAAGTGAATGGGTGGACCATTTGTAAATACATGAAAAATGCCTGTTGATGTGCGGCTAATGTAAAGCGACGCTTTATGAGGGGATTTCTTTTTTTTTTTTTTTGTCCACTTCTACTTCGGCGATGCCGGCCAGCTCGCCGTGGTGCCAGGGCCAATTGCCCCGTATTGTCGGGGGAAGCCCGCAATCAGCGATGCGTCCGTCCATCACGGGATTGTTGTTGGTGCAGGGCTGACGGCATCAACCGGCGCACGGGCCAGCCGCGTCTTGCTGGGACACGGTTGCAACACCATGAGATCTGGGGGCACGTGCTACCGTAGTAAGTGCCGGCCATCAAATTTCTTCGGAAAAACACGAGAAGAAAAACAACAACAACAACAACAACAAAAATGAAATATGCAAACTTCTGCTTCAGTATTTTCTCTCTTTCCTCCTCCCCTATTTCTCTGTCTGTGTTTGTTGATTGTGTACCCGCATGCATATCTTTACATTTTTTAAATTTCTGTTTGTTTGTATATATATATATATATTTTGGAGGTTTTTTTTTGTGTGTTTTTTCTTTAAATTAGGCGGCACCAGGAGGGAATGAGGAAACATCCCACGTGGGACGGTCCATGTATCGCAAATTAACACCGGGCATTAAATTTTTTTTTTTTTTTTTTTTTTTAGCCAACTTGTCTTTTGCGAATGTGTTTCATTTGTATGTTTTTTTCTTTTCCTTTTTCCCCCTTCCGTTAATGACTTAATTATGTGCATTCTTTCACTTTTTCTTTTGCTTGGTTTTGTTCGCTTGCGTTTCATACGATGTGCCTCATGACATCTTCCACACAAATACACACACACACACAGAGAGAGAGAGACACCCAAAAAAAGGAAGAATGAAAGGAAAAAAAAACAAAAACCGGTCTCCATCCCACCCCTCTCCCCAATTATTTCCTTTCCCTTTTTTTTCACTTTCAGCTGTGCCTGCCACCAATTCGGCTCTCTTTATATATATATATATATATATATATATATATATATATGTTTGTAATTTTATATGCATATCTATGTGTGTCATTGGTGCACACATCTAATTCATAGAGGCGTGTGGAAGGGAAGTGCAACTCAACTAAGGCTTAGTGGGTGGTAGCGGGAGGAGTAGGGGTGGGGGTGAGGGCTTTTTTTTTTTCTTTGATTTCTCCTGATTTTAATTTTAATTTTACTTGTATCGCTTATTTATTATTATTATTATTTTTCCAACAAGGCCGCGTTGGATGGTAGCAAAGGTGTTTTTTCTTTTTTTTTTTTTTCCTTGTGTGTGTGTTTATGTCGTTGCATCCGCCTACCCACCGCTTCTGGTTGCGCGGGGGAGTTTGGCGGTTGCGGGGACCTTTTAAAGAATGCCACTTATCCGCCTTTAAAGCTGGCCCGGATGTTGGCGGTGCATGTTTTTTATTTTTTATTTTTATTTTTATTTTTTTGGTGTCTTTTCCGTTCTTTGCCGGAGCGGGGGTGAGAAGGAGGCTGGGCCTCACCCAAGCGCATAGTTATATGTATGTATATCGTTATTTTTTTCTTTTTCCTCCCTTCCTTCCTTTCTTCCTCTCTTTTTTTCCTTTTCTTTTTCTGTGTGTGTGAGAGTGTGAGTGTAAGTGAAGGTGTGTATTTTGCGTGCACATGCAGAGAAAGAACGAGAGTGCGAGTGTGAGCACATGGCTGTAAGTATAAAAATTTTATTATGTGTAGGATTTTGTATGGATGTTTCTGCATTGGATGAGGTGTGCTCTGTGTTGATTGTTGCTGGTGAAACCACCCTTTTTATTTCCTTTTTTCTTTTTTTTTTTTTTTTTTTTTTTCTGTTGTTGTTGTTTGCTGCAATCTCAGCGACGAGTGTCGATGTGCCTGTGCGGGCGCAACGGCATTTAGGCATTAGCAGAACCAAATTAAACAGCGTGTTTCTTTC